AGAAAAACTGGATGTGTGTGTGTGTGCTCGGAAACAAATTTTAGTCGACAATTTCGGAAACACGTATCAACCGATTCGAATAATTCAAATAAAAACATTCGTAACGTATTAGTAAGGAGACTTGCTGATTAATTTTTAGCAAAGACAGATGCAGCCGTTTCGAAGATGGGGCAAAAAGTGCTAAAAATGGTAATACAATTTTTGAGAGAACAGAGCATCCGATTTGAATGATTCAAAAAGCTTTCTATTTGTATTGATGAAATGAAAAACTGAAGAAATTTTTGGGAAGACTGGTCTGGGGTTTTTGAGTTCAAAAAAAAAGTATAAAAAACATGCAATTAGGCGGACAAAAATAATCATTAGACATATGCACATCAAATTATCACATAATAATAAGAACAAATTACGTTTACATAAAATATAAAAAAAAATCAAATTTTGAAAAATGGTCATTTTTTTAATAATTCAAAATTCTCAGAAATCTAATTATTTCAAACTTTTAAAAAAAATTTAGAATCTTTTTTGAAAATTTTAATTATCTGTATTTTAGCAATTTGCCTTGACACGATGACATTAACTGCCATTTTTTAACTTTATTTGTTATCAACGACTCAATTTTGATTACTTAATGACTATCTTTATATTATTATTATATTATTATCATATTATTATTTCTAATATTGTTATTTTGTTATATTTATTATTATTTGTCATTTATTATTTTTATTCCACTTTATTGTTTTTCTAGTATTATTTTAATATTCAGAAATTTTATCTATTATTTTTATTTTTATTGTTATTTGCTTTTATTTTATATTAAATCATCATACTACGGATATCATTTTAATGTAAATACTGTCCTGTGTACTTTTTTTATTTAAATTGATGTTATTGTTCATTATTATTACTAGATGTTAAATTAATATTTTTTACAGTTGTAATAAATATTGAAATTAAAAAAATGATTATCTTTCCACTATTCTTCTCCAAAAAAATCATTTTTGTTGCTTTATCTATTTTAGTAATATTTTCTTGTGCTTATGAAATATTTACGTCGATGCAAAATGTGATAAGTATATTTCTAAACATAATATTTCTTTTAGATAGACTTTGTATGCGCAGGTGTTAAACTTCTTGTCGAGACTCGTAAGTTTGAAACTAACTTCGTACGGTGGCTCAATTTGCCGTCACGGAATAAACTGAAAGTTGTTATTTGAGCTAAGATAAGTTCTCGTCCTTGCGGCTAAGTTGGTTAGTCCCGGAAGTACAACACTCCGGAAAGGCAAATGAGAGAAGTTATTATGGAAATTATACACTACAATTATTTAATTATGATCAAACCGAGTAATGTACATAAGAGATATTTATTCTCATATGTACAAGAATATTAAATTGACTTAAACATTTTAATTCGTATATTGAACAATCGGAAACAATATCCGTTTTTATTCAAATAGATATATATTCAAATGTTTCCAATAGGGTTTTGAACCATTCAAATCGGTTGATCCGTGCGCCCGAAAACGTGACTGGAAATTTGTATCCATACATACATGCACACACACATCCATTTTTTCTGAGGTATGACAAAATGTTCAGAAACTTTACACTAAATTTACACTAAATTTGCGGATAAGTTACAAAATATTCGAGTAAAAATTTATTTTTTATATAAAATTCGAAAACTGGTTGAAACTGGTTTTTTAGTAAAATTAGAATTCGAAAACCGGTTTTCTGAATTGTCGGTTTTTGTATAAACCCTAGTTTCCAAGTAAAAATAGGCCTTCAGGAGTATTCCAACATCCAATTACATACCATCATATTATCACTATTAGATTAATTAGATAATAAAAAACAATCAAATTTCAAAATATCTAGGACCAAAGCAACCAAGGTTAATCGTTTGGTATCAGAAGTTCTGATTGTTGTCAAAAATTAGATTTTTAAAAGAATGTTTAACAAAGTGGCATTTATATCTTCTTATATATAAAAATGGAGCTCGATAAAATGATCCGCTAAAACTCGAAAACGGCTAAACCGATTTGGCCAGTCTTAGTCTTGAAATTTGAGTTATTATTTCAAAATCGCGTAGAAACTTTACATTTTTGATTTGAAAATTTTTGTAGAAGCGTAATTTAAATAAAACAATAGACGGTGGCTAATACGTCAAATGTCAAACGTTTTTGACAGATGATGTTCAATTACGTTTAATAGGATGTTTTACGCGACTATTGTTTAATTATGATTAAATTGTAGTAAGTAGTTTCGTTTGTAGTTTTATTTATATACAAAAACGTTATTAAACAGGCCGCAAGTGTTACTAGAAACTCAAAATATCAACTTTTTTGAAATGTTAATATGAAAATGCACTTTTTGGCACATTTTTCTCAAACACAGTGCTCTGAAAGATCTCATTTTATATAATTATATACTCATTTGTAATTATAAAACATTTTCATTATAAAAAATTTTAATATAAAAGGTTATATTATTTTTTATTTATGTTAGTTAAATTCAGAACCTAAATTTGGTATCGATCAAAGGGACCTTTTGCCGAATAACATTTTCCCAGTTATAATTTTCCAGAATTTATCAAAGAATAGATAGTAATATATGGAGGTCCGGGGTTAAAAAGGTCCACCGATGTGTAATTTAAGCATTGTTTACCAACAATATTCAAAAGTAGAGGGAAAAAATGTATAACCAGCTATAACCTTGATTCTCATGACTTTGCTATCGGGAGATAAACGGTAAACTTGGAAAATCCATAATAAAAGTATTTTCTTCCGTTGGTAGTTCTTTAGCATTGGTTAAAAGTGTAATTATTTTGTAAAATACCTTTAAAATTAAAATAAGACATTAAATCTGTTTGCCACCTGGCCGTTCCAAGGTAAAAAGGTCTAGATAACAAATTTTTGAAAGACGGCAAAAAAAGCACATTTTTATAATGATGAAGTAGCTGGTATAGTAGTATTACTGAACGTAGTCAGATAATTGTTCATTTGAAGTGAGTTGTTTGTTGTGATATAATTGTTTTGGTTTTCACAATATAGTTTATATTTACTCAAAGTCAAATTGGACCTTTAAGCCTCGCCCTGCTCTACATATATACTTTTTATTAAATTTACTTTAATTCATCAAATGTTACTTAAAACTTTTCAAAAAGCAGGTCAAAGAAAAAATACTTAATTCATTTTCTATTTCTCCTCGCAGAAATTTGAAAATTTTGTATAAGCTCAGTAGTATTATTTGCAATTATACACAAAATCCAGAATCCAAAAAGAATCTGAAAAACTTGAAACGTAATTAATAAGTCGAAACACCAAAAAAGACTTGAATGGATTTCTATAGAAAGTGTATAAATCTTCCAGTTTAATTGTATTGACAAAATATAGACAAACTAATGGGGTTTATTGTTTTTATAATACTTCATTGTATGTAGCATTCAAACAACACATCCTTATATACTTAAAGTATTAATATTTTTGATTCTCTGGAAATTGTTTAGAATATACCTTACTTAGCAAAACAACGTTTGCCGGGTCAGCTAGTTCCGAAGGGAAAGTTTGTTTTCGCAAACAATCTGATTCGTTAATTTTATATTTTCTCCACATTTCAAGTTATTCTGAAACAAATAGGACCAAATTTGCAAAAAGTATGCGTATGTTTATGTGTATGTGTGTGGATGTATGACTGTGTGTATGTATGTAAACCAATTTTTGGCCATTCGTCGACGTGTCCTCAAAAACGACGAAAACGATTTTAAGAATTCAAAACCACACATTTCAATATCTTACCTAATTATCTTAATAATAATTAAAAATATAATTACGAGAATATCGTATGTAGTAGTAGTAATCGAATTAAAATCTAATATACGAGATTGATACACGAGAAACATCCATTTTTAATGATGTCGTGTTGCCTGAGTAGTGGTATTATAATTATATGCCATTTAGTAAAATACGAAATATAAAAATTGATAGAAGCTGAAAAACGATTGAAAAAGCCATTGAAATCGATTCTGAATAAATTTGCATGTGCACGCATCTCTATTCTAGTTGTGGGACCTGCAATGTAGGTATGGTCACGTAAAAGATTTCAATTTGTGTAAAATAGAAGACAAACAGGAAAATTTTATCATTTTCAAAAACAATTTCATTAATTGGACTATACTCAGTAAATTATAGATTAGATAGACATCATTTGGATATTTATATTTTTTATTTGAATGTATTAAATACTTACATATAGATCAATGATTCTTGCATAAAAATCAAATAATAATCATAAAAAATCAAAATTTAGTCATAACAAGATCATAGAATTCGAATTTCTGATGATTGTTCAAAAAAAAATATTTGCTTTAGCTCACAATTTTTATACTTCTAAAGCATTCATGAATCTTTTATATAATTTTAACAGATGGCTGTCAAAAGGCAAACTAGTAAGTTGTTCTATCTAGTTAGGACATTTTTACCGTTATTAGCAGTTTATATTTTTAGCATTTTATCAGTTTAAAATTTTTATCAGTTTATTCACCAAAAATAGATACATAATAAACAAAAAATAGTCACATTTTCATCAATTTTCATGATATTTATGTTCAATACTACCGGATTGACCTTGAATTCTAGAACATCAGTTTTCTATACACTTTGCTTACTGTTTTATCGCCAACTAGTAAATACGTTTGATTAATGTTACTTGCAATGTTATATTTGCAAATTGCAAATATTCAATTCAAATTTTGTGTATAATCCAATAACAATGAACAAACGTTTTTAGCCTAGAATAAGTATGAAATAAAAAATTATAAATTGCAGTTTAATAATATGAATTGACTTTAATTACATTGTAATATAATTAAATTTTCTCGAAAAGTTCAGCAAAATAATCATGGCATATTTTATTAAAGTAAAACAATGCCATTGAACAGTTCGAATTGCTTTATATCTTCATTTTAATATACCTTAATTATATTTTTTTATTTATTGCAGGAAAATGAAGGACAGCACAGTTCGACACTGCCTCAGGCTAGCTTCAATTTCATCAATTCCATAATCGGAAGTGGCGTTATAGGTAACAGTTCAATTTTAATGCCATCATCATGCTAATTATAATTGTATCTAATTACGTCATTAAATTTCATTAGCTTTATTTTTTGCACTAATTATCAAATTAATTACTTAAAGAAGCTCTTGAATGCACGTGTACATGATTAAAAATGTTGTTTAATTTTCTTATTAAGCTTGTGAAATAATTAAAATTAAAATATAATTTAGCGAAGCAGATGGCAATAAATTTGTGTAATTTAATGTAAGAAGATATTTTGTGTTAGACAAATTGCATAGACAATAAGATATCAAATGTAGGGTAGGGCGGATCACAAAGGTCCAATTTGATTTTTAGAAATTATATTGCGAAAAAGGAAACAACTGTCATATCAAACAAACAACTGCCCGACTATGTTCAGTACAACTCACAGCTAATTCATCATTGCAGAAATGAATTTTTTGCTCTTTTTTAAAAGCTTGTCACTTGTTTACCTCATAGGCGAATAAAAAAGAAACAGCCCGAGAGCATACAGATCTAATGTCTTAATTTTAAATTTGAAAATGACCCTGTATATAACTCTGATTTCGTATTTAAATTTCGTAAATATTTATCAGCAGAGTAGAAAAAACTACTTATTTTAATTCATCTCTTGTAAAATTGTTGTGTTTTTAACTTAACTTACTTTTTATTGTTTACACCCTTGCCACCAAAGGCTCAGTTTATACCACCCACATGTGAGCTTTTATACATGTTATTAAAGAAAATTCTTGAACGTAATTTAAAATTAACATTCATCATTCGAAACAATTCATCTTATAAATCAATTAAATTACATAAACTTGAAAATTATATTGGTCTCGTAAACTAAACAGCAATGCTACTACCTGTATAAAATTCCAGGAAATGAAACTTTATTATTTTAAAAAATTTATTTGGAACATTATTGAAAATTATTTGAAAATATTCTTTTAGTAATTTATTTTAAAGTGATTTTGGTGAAACACTTTTTCGCATTAATATTTCAAAAATTTTGAAATAAAATCTATTTATAATATCAGTTAGTAGGTATCATAATCTTTTTCAAAACTAGCTGTGAGTGGAATTCTGTCTTAAGGCAATTAAGGCATCGTGCCTTAAGGCAAATTGCTGGAACTTCCCGTACCAAAAATTATAATTTTTTTAAAAACGATTGACATTATTGAAAAAAAAAAATACTTTGAAAAAATCAGATTTTTGAGAAACTATAAATTGGACAAAAAATTACATTTTTTTGAAAAAAATTTTTTTAAAAAAAAAATTTTTTTTTAATTTTTTTTTTGTTTTTTTTTTGAAAAAAAAATTTTTTTTTGTTTTGACATATTGTGGAAGATTTGAACTTTCTTTTCAAAGCAATCGTACTGCTTTAACTGCATAGGGACAAAATATAAAGCGCGTTAGCGCCGCGTCGCTGTCTAACGCATAAGCATTGGTACGGAACCCATAGGAATGTTAACAAAACTTACACTTATTGTTAAAATCTCTATAAAATATCTGATAATTTGATGAACATATGTCTAATGATCATTTTTGACCGCCAAATGGCTCATTTTTTTACTTTTTCCTTCATATCTCCGAAACCGCTAGACCTACCTTCATGAAAATTTTATCGATTCTTCATCTTGTCAATACAAGTGAAATGTTTTTTGAATTATTCAAATCGGACGCTCCGTTCTCTCAAAAACTGAGTTACCGTTTTCGGCACTTTTTGCCCCGTATCTTCGGAACGGCTAGACCTGCCTTCGCCAAAAACTAATCAGCACGTCTTCTTATCAATACGAATCGAATGTTTTTTGAATTATTCAAATCGGTTGATCCGTGTTCGCGAAATCGTCGACGAAAATTTGTATCCGCACATACATACACACACGTACATACATACATACATACACACACACACATACATCCATTTTTTCTAAGGTATGCCAAAATGTTCAGAAGCCTCTGAAACGTAAAGATATATAAAATTTTCATTTTCGATTTTTTTGCGATTACTATAACTTACCCTACGGGAAGTTAATTAAAGTATATATTTGTTTTGTAAGCCATTTTTAGTAAGGTTAACAAAGTGAACCATTGAGTTAATTTGATTTAGTAATTTGTCATATTTTCACAGTGAAGATTAATATTTGATTACGTCGTACTTTGAATAAGTCTACCCACCACTATTCAATATAAGGTCAAAATAATTTATAGTAACTAAATATATAATTAAGACATAATTGAGAATTTATGTAGAATATTTTCTTCGTGAAAACATCATAAACATAAATTACAAAAAATAATTACAATTTAAGTCAAGAGAATTCATTACTTCCGAACAAACACTTTGAATAAAAAAAGGGAAAGAATAAAAATTGGCATAGAAATTAACGACAAAATAAACGTTCTGAACATTTTTATTTTAATCCATTTTTACCCTTTCGATGCTAAATCAGACACAAAGAGACATCAAAATTCATCTCATGTAATATGAATAATTTATTAATAACATTAAATTCACTTATAGTGCATTAAAATTCAGAACCGGAGACTACTTAATACCCGTAGCGTAAGTTTTAGTAATCGAAAAAAAAACCAAAATGAAAATTATTGCATGTCTTTACGTTTCAATGGTTTTTGAACATTTTGGCATACCTTAGAAAAAATTGATTTTTTTTCATCCACGATTTCGGGCGCATAGATCAACCGATTTCAATTATTAAAAAACGATTTCTATTAATGGTTAGACGATACGAAGCAAAAAGTATCAATAATAGTATTTCAGTTTTTGAAGTAACAAAGCACCCGATTTGAATGATTCAAAAAACATTTTACTTGTATTGAAGAATTACGAAATGAAAAATTGATAGAATTCTTAGAAGGCAGATCTAGCTGTTTCGAAGATACAAAAGAAAAATGTAAAAATATGATATCTGTCGGTCTAAAATGATCATTAAACATACGACAAATTGTCAGGTGTTTTATAAAGATTTTGAACATGACATAATTTTGTGAAAATTTTCGGTTCGGTACTAAGATTTTTAATTTTTAAACTTTTAAAGAAACACAAAAAAACATATTTCGACAATGATAAATTTTACTGAACAGTTGTTTGTTTTATATGTGTAATTTGTTTTGATATAATTGGTTTGGTTTTCACAATATAATTGCTCAAGGTCAAATTGGACCTTTGTGACCCGTCCTATCATGTATATATAATATTTAACATCCCGTAGGGCAAGTTATAGTAATCGCAAAAAAAATCGAAAATAAAAACTTTTATATATTTTTACGTTTCAAAAGTTTCTGAACATTCTGGCATAAAAAATGGATGTATATGTGTGTGTGCGGATACAAATTTTCGTCAACGATTACAGGAACACCAATTAACCGATTTGAATAATTAAAAAAATATTCGATTCGTATTAATAAGGAAACGTGCTGACTAGTTTTTGGCGAAGGCAGATCTAGCCGTTCCGAAGATACGGTGCAAAATGTGCCAAAAACGGTAACTCAGTTTTTAAGAGAACGGGGCGTCCGATTTTAATAATTCAAAAAACATTTTACTTGTATTGACAAGATGAAGAACTTATTTCATTTTTGAGAAGGCAGGTGCAGCAGTTATAGACTCTTAATAAAAATAAGTTAAAAAAATGTCATTTGGCAGTCAAAAATGTTTATTGGACTTGTGCACATCAAATTAGCAGATATTTTATAGTGTTTATATTATATTTCATAATGTGTATACATTTAGTGTATTTTTTTTTGGGTTTCGTAACAAGATTTTTAATTACCGTACGGGAAGTACCAGCAATTTGCCTTAAGGCCAACCCCACTAGTTAGTTGAACTTATTCGGTATTTAGTTGAATACGTATGTAATAAGTGTTTATGTTAACCAAAGTAAAATGTTTATTTTTTTTATTTTTGTTATGATTTTATTGGAACAGCGATCAGAACTTATGTGTTCTATGAGCTGTTGTGATTAATATCTTACAAACTACGTTTGTTTTATTACAGATGGCAACCCAAACAGTTGTCACATCTCTGTGTGATAATTTTTTATTGCAAAATTTGATTAGTAAGCACTTTATTGTTTCTGATATTTTCCTTTACAAAATACGTATTATCAGGAAGTCACTAGCTCTCTCTTAAATTATCGGACCATTCGTATAATTGCGAATAACTTTTGCAAAATGCTATAATATAGGTGAAATGTCACTTCGCCACATTTTATTGATGGAGCATAAAATTTATGATGGCACAAGTCAACAGATGTTGAATTTGATGTCACCTGCCCACGCCATTCATCGCTATATTCGGCGATGTATCATAGTCAATAACTTTAGCGATAGGGTTTCCTCGGAGTCATGAATCACTTTGACGATAACGCGGACAGAAAATTATAAAGGCGGCGTTACGTGCCGCTGACAGGTTAATTACTAGTTCTTGTTACCGAGACCACGGTAATGTTGCTCCACGACAAGAGGGGTGGGCAACATATTCAAAGAGGTGATTGTTCTTTTGGGTTATTGACCTCGAAAGTTAAGGAACGAACATCCACAATTTATTTTGGAACAGCTGTGGCCTAAAGATATACGTTTTTCAGTTATTCTCAGTCAGCGGAGCGTGGGCCTGTTACGAGCTGTTTCCAAAATACTACTTTCGAGTGAAACATCACAAAAAGTCGAATTTTGGTGTAGAAAATGAATATGAGCCATTCTTTTACAAAATCGCGCGGATTTTGGGAAAAATAAAATGTCACATTTCAGAATTGTCAGCATTTTTTTACAGATATTAAGGTGAATATACGTCCGGATTGGGCGGGACAGTCCCGGATTTCCACCTTCTGTCCCGGGTTTTTCTTAAAGCAATATTTGTCCCGAATCTTTTGTCCCGGATGTCCCGGTTTTTCGAAAATTAATAGTTAAGTTAACAAAAATTAAGAAAACAAACTAACAGATGCTAATTTTTTCAAATTAATTATGAAGAAAATTGAATAGAATAAATAGATCGAAAAATATAAGATAAAATATCATAGATTAAAATGTAATGCATATAATAATCGAAGTTCTTACTAAAGTCCGCAATTATGATAAAAAAACATTCATTTTAAAAAACTGTTTTTTTCATTGCATCCTTGAATAGCATTCGTTATATAAACGACTAAACTCCCCCTACCCCGCGACGTCCCGAATTAGCATAACTGAAAATTGCCATCCCTGATTTGACTTAAAAAATATGATCACCTTACAGATATACATAAAAACATTTGGCACGTATTACAGGATTTTGCTGAAAAAAATTTTTTTACATACGATTGATTAATGATTAGCTCAATTTTTATGAACATATTTTGCGTTAAATGAAATATCTCCAGTTGTGCTGATCGAATCAGTATTATTATTTTCAACTTCCCGTAGGGTAAGTTATAGCAATGGGCCAAAAATCAAAAATGAAAATTTTCGCATATCTTTACGTTTCAGTGGTTTCTAAATATTTTGGCATACCTCTGAAAAAATGAATGTGTGTACGTGTGTGCGGGTGTGTGTTTTGTGTGGCCGCATTTTTTCGTCCAAGTTTTTGGGCGTACGGATTTGGATGTCTCAAAAAACATTCGATTCCTATTGATAGGGAGATAAGCTGATTGTTTTTTGGTAAAGGCAGGTCCAGCCGTTACGGAAATACGGAGCAAAGAGTGCAGAAAATAGAAATCGAGTTTTTAAGAGAACGATAATCCGATTTCAATGATCCAAAAAACATTCAATTTGTAATGATTATTAGAAGAGGTTATTAGTTTTTGGCAAAGCCAGGTCTAGTCATTTTGAAGATACAGAGCTAAATGTACAAAAAAATGGCAGATTTTGAGAGAACTAAGCATCCGATTTGAATGATTCAAAAAACTTTCTGCTTATGTTGACAAAACAACTGCTTTGGAAAAATAACATTTTTTTACATCTTAAAAGCGATTCTCTTAACATATAATATCATGTTAATGCAGGGGACGCTGACTAAATGCGCCTTGTTGGATCAATCATACTTTTATCTTTCCCCTTTGAAATCTATCTCAAGATCAATGTAATTTAGATGTTATGACGACTGTCACTACCGTAACCTGGCACAACCGTACCCAGTCTGCTCTACTTTTCACTACTGTACATATCTTCAAGCAATATATTTCTTAAGAAATTAAAAGATACTTTCTATAAAAAATAAAAAAAACAAGATCAGTTAGTTTTATCAGAAAAAATGGATGCGTCTGCGTGTATGCGTGTGTGCGGGTTTATATAATTCTTATACAAATTTAAAAAATGCACAGTATTTATAATAATCTATTTGAAAACATTTAATATTACTCGAACATTTGGTTACGATACGGGAAGTTCCAGAAATTTGACTTAAAGCACGATACCTCACACCACTAGTTTTATTATACTCATATTGAAGTCAATTTTATAATTGAAATTTCTTAACTATAACAACTCCTAAATGTTCACTAAGGTACCTAACGTTGCTCCCACTTGAATTGATTAAAAAAAAAAAATTTTTTCTTTTTTTCTCTGCTACAAAATTCTTTTTACAATTTGTTGGAAATTCTATTACATAGAAAGTTAGTAAATATTTTTGAGCGCGAGTCGCACTTCAGGGTCCACATGTCAGGGACCTCAAAGACTTGTAGAATTTATAGTCAACTCATTTGTCACATTCGAAAGCCCTTCTTATTGTTATTTGTTACAAAATAGTGTATAATTTTGTTTATGGGGCCAAATAAATATATGATTGGAAAAAAATTATCAGGGGACAGCGGGGCTTGAAGATCCGTGGGTAAAAAGGTCCACTGCCAATATCTCAAAAGCAAGTAAAGTTAGTAATTTTTTAATAACAATATTTGAAAATAGAGGTTTCATATTTATATAAAAATAAAAATCGTTATGAATAATAACTTATTACCATATCACAAATATATACAATATTTTAAGAAAGTCAAATGTTAACTACTAATGTTGTTCAGTTTTCTTTTTAGTACTTTTTAGTACTCTTACTAAAAATTGTAGTTTTAATTAACTTTGATTGCATATTATGGTAAAACCCCGTTTGTTAATATATTATCTTTGGAAATTATTTTAATACAACATACAGGAAGATAATATAGAATTATATCTGAATTAAATAATAAAGAATAAATACGAGCAAATTTCAAATACCGATGAAAGTATAGTAATGGAAACAAAGAAGGGTTTAGTAGCCTTAAACTACTCATGTCTAATAATATTTTTTTGCTTTGGTTAAAATAATGAACTAATTTCGATTGATAAGGATTCTATAAAATTATTTTATAGAATCAACCGCAACCCTTTTAAGTGAAACGTAAAATAAATTTCAGTGTGTAATAATAATTTGCAAATCAATTAGGTTGATCACATAGCTTTTCCCACACAACACAACTACTTCTACTGCCTAGTTATTTCCTAGAAAGATTACCATCTAAGACTATTCTAAGCCGCAATGTTTGAACAATACCCGAGAGAAATCAAAGTCCATAATATCATGTTGCTTTGCAAGACCAAGTTTGCCAAATATAATAAGTCATCATACCAAGGACAGAAATAGCTCCCAGCTAATTTCTATTATCAATAGACGTCGAGGATCAAAATTTGTATATTGATATTGAAGCTAGAGAACTAAGCAAGCCATATGTTTTTGTGAAAATAATATTTGGTCAAAATTTCGGCCAGCAACTTTTGTAATCAACGAAATGTAAATATTCGCTAATATTAATACCTGTAGATTATTGTAAGTAATAATCTAGTGGTGCATTTAAAAATTCATTTTGATAATAACATTTTTGCTGTCAATAAAGATTAATCAGTGCGATTTTCACTTGATATCTTTTAAATATGCATACTCATAATAATTGTAATTGTATAAATTAAAATAATTTTTTTAACATATTTCATTTCATGCATTACGGGTTTTGAAAATGTATCATTTTAAGAGTAGATATCAACTGTAATCAGTACGAAACACCACAGATCCTGCATATGCTTCGGCATAGATTCTGATTATAATCGCATAATAATGATTTTATACAATTCAACCACCTATCGTAGGCCTATAATATTTTAGTATGTTATTTCAGTCTACGAAATATATCATCATACAAAGTATGATGCCACTAGCACTTCTCTGCTAATGACAAAAAAAAACGACTTGGCCGATTGTGGCGCAAAACTGATAACGCTAGTCTCTTTATATATTTAAAATCGGTCCAGCTGTTTTTTAGAAATTTACGACGAAAAATCAAAAATACACACACATATACTGACACATGCGCACACATACTTCTTCGACATTTGGTCTCATTCGATTCAAAATGACTTGAAACGTCTAGAAAATATAATCATCCAGTCAAAAAACATAAAATTTTTAAAACAAATCGGATTTTCGAGCAAAAACATTAACTTCTAAGAGAAGTTACTACAATAACATTACTGTTAAGTTTTTTGGCTTTTTAGAGTTTTTATTCATTTTAAAGTATTAGTGGAAATCGTGTAGTTTAATTATTGAACAGTAATTAATTTACCACAAAAAGTGAATAAAATTAGAGTTTATCTCTGTGATATATATATATATATTCATATTCATATATACATGGTATTACTCTCCATTTTCTTGTTAACTTTTCGTAGAGTAAGTTATTGTAATCGTCCAAAAATCGAAATTGAAAATTTTTGCATTTATTCACGTTTTGAAGGTTTCTGAACATTTTGGCATACCTAAGAAAAAATGGATGTATGTGTGTATTCATGTATGGATACTTTTCGTCTACGTTTTTGGGCGCAACCGATTTGAATGGTTCAGAAAACATTCGATTTCTATTGATATAGGGGTGTGCTGATGAGTTTTTGGCAAAGGTAGGTGCAGCCGTTTCGGAGATATAGAGCAAATAGTGCAGAAAATAAAAATTGAGTTTTTGAGAAAATAAAGCGTCCGATTTGAATTATCCAAAAAACATTTAATTCGTAATGACGAGAAGAAGTGGTGATTAGTTTTTGGCAAAGGCAGATCCAACCTTTTCGGAGATACCGAGCTAACTGCGCAAAAAGATGTTAATTTTGAGAGAACTAAGCATCCGAAAAACTTTCTGTTTGTGTTGACGAAACGAATGCTTTTGGGAAGAAAAGTTTAATTTCGAAAATAATTCGAATTTTTATTTTAATTCTAGCTAAAGTTCTAAAGCTCACCTTTAATTAGCGTCAGACACATTACTGGCATGGTGATTAACTTGTTAAAAATTATATTTAGAAATTGACAACTAATATTATTAATGTTTTTATTATTGCTAACTGAATTAGATATTAATATTAAATTAATTAATTCATTTATTTTACCATTACAGGAATACCATATGCATTGCATCAAGCGGGCTTCGGCTTGGGTTTATTTCTGTTGATCTTCGTGGCGTTCGTTACGGATTATTCGTTAATATTAATGGTATGTAAATATTCTGTGTAAAATATTCGGAAAACTTTTTTTTGTAATTATTCATAACCGTTCATTCTTTTTTACGAGGGAATAAATGCGAAAAATATTCTGGAAAATAAATATCTTTGCCGGAATCATGCAAAGATGTTTGCATTATGATATATTGAATTGTGTTGATTATTTTATGACAATTTAAGGATATCTAAATTAATTTAATAATCAATACCTACTATATAAGTGATATAACAATATGCAAATAATGATTTTAATTCTTCGAATAGAACTTTCTGATTCGAAAAAAGACATATATCAAAATATAACACATAGGTAACTGCATTTTTAATATTAAAATCAATTAGAAATTAGTGACAAATCAGTAATTGTAATAAGAACTTGCCATTATAAAGTCCACAGTTACAATGGTTAAATTATAACTTAACAATCAGAGTCATGAAAGAAAGATCTTTTCAGGAGAATTCTACACACTAGTTTTACATACGTACACATAAATTCGAACAGTCTTTCGTCTTTTTTCCCATTTTAAACTACCCAGATTCAATCATTTTTGTAATTGATATCAATGCTTAATATTAAGAGATCGACCTAACAATGTTTCATTACTTGCATTACAAAATAGAGACATTAACATACGTTTATGGGTCGATTCTGCCGAAAAATAGACCAATGTTGTGACAAGGATTGTCACGTTTTCATTCAAAATGCTACTAAACATTGTCAAAATGCCATGTTTTTTTAGTTTCTATAAATCTTTGAAGTTATTAAAATGGAAAATATTTTTTAGGCAAGACAGATATTACAGCTGTTCAAAGAATGAAATTATATTGCCAGCGAAAAAGTAAAAAAAATACAAGCAGTCAATGAATGTGTGTTAATTTTAATTACATGAAGTTCTTCAAACACAATTACATGATGAGTGAAGTTGCGAAAACAATATTTGTTTAGGGGTTGTTTAACATAATCCACTGTGCGAACGAATATTATAGAAATTATTAATCAGCAATTACTTCATTCTTCTAATGAAAATTCAGTTCTAAATGCTAATTACAATGTAAATTACAATTACATGATCATGTTATATTTGAAGTATGATAATATAAATGCGTATAATGGTTGACACTAATAAATATGTGCATTACGAGTGTTACCATATTACTAATAAACATTATTTAAAATTGTTATATGATGTATTTATTTTTACTTAAATGCCATCTTGTACAGTAGCAAATAAGTTTTACTGCAATCGCGTGTGACCTTACGCGCACTCTTTTTTTTAAAAATCCCTAAAATCTAAAACGCTTTTTTTATCTAAAACTTGACTTTATCTTGACTGCACAACAACCACATAGGATTCTGACAGTTTTTACTACCTCTTTATGTGAAAACTGCTACATAACATTGCCTTGCCATAACGTTGGTCTATTTTAGGGTAGGATCGAACCCGGAATTTATTTAAGCGGTTTTCATTATCTAAATCAAAAATATATGATATTTGATTTGCAGGTGAGATGCGGGCATCTTTGTGGAAGATTCAGTTATTCCGGTGTTATGGAATGCGCTTATGGAAGACCAGGATATTATTTTCTCAGTTTACTTCAATTTGTTTATCCATTCATAGGTATATAATATAACATTTTGTCATTTGAATCATTATTAAAATATGAACATTAATGCAAGGCATAACCCATCATACAATCACGTTCTGAACTTAACGGCAATAAAAAAAATTGTCTATGAAAATGTATGAAAGTGAAATGTTGATTCTTTTGGTTTTTAAGTATTTATAGTAGTAATTGTTTGTTTGAATGTCAATCACTATAAATGCTCAAAAGCCAAAGAGCACTAAATAACACAATCACCTGACCGTAACTTATATTAATAATCTCTTGATTGTAAAATCGAACCAAAGTAGAATCAATTTGCCCTATCCACATACAAACATTGCTCTATCAGCATTCGAAACATTTAATGATCACCTATGCAGCTAAAGTGTGAAGCCAATAAACATAATAATGTTGGCAAAAACATGATTTCCAAACAACATTAAATTTTGTTACAAGAAAAAAAAGCGTCATCTACAAGAAACTCACCTTGAATCAGTTTACAATCCATGTATTATTTTCAGCAATGGTATCGTACAACGTAGCAGTCGGTGACACTTTGACCAAAGTTCTGATACGTTTGCTGTCTCTGGATGAGGACTCACTGCTGGCTGATAGACATTTCATAGTCCTGGTGTGCACCGTGTCCATAGTAACGCCTCTCTGTTTGTACCGAGATGTTGCAAGGCTAGCTCGAGTATCTTTCGCCAGTTTAGCATGTGTCGCCTTCATCCTGGTCACTGTCATTTACAAGATGGTATCTGGAGAATATGATATTGTGTAAGTAATAAATTTGAAATCTCGCAAAAATGTAAAAATCGTCTTTATTTTGATTACTTCTGACCATGAAAAATTAATTTGAAAACACTATATTGTGGACTAGTTGTTCATAATTTGATCTTTACATTTTGTATATAAAAGTCATCATTTTGTCATCTTTAACATATGTAATAAAACTTTAGAAAGTTTACTGCAAAAAATAGATAAAAAACGAGTGGATTATTAAACTGATACAATTTTATATTTATTCTGTTGGCCAATTTGTTTGGAGACGCCTCACTATTGAATTATCAAGAAGAAAAGTTAATTATTCATTAGAATGATATTCAATCTTAAGAAGATGTTTATAGCATCTGCCCTTGATAGCATCTTTTTGAAATGGTATGTCCAAATTATTACAAATTATCATTGTTGGAAATATACCAAAAAGCATCAGTAATGGTTCTGAGCGTTTTTATTTGAAGTTTCTGCTTAAAAGTATGTTAGACTTACTGACAATTTCATATAGTTCCGTATGACCATATGGATTTAAGTATAGTTTTACACAGAAGGATTTGATTGTCGAGGAATAGTTTATATTATAATATATATATATATATATATATATATATATATATATATTAGGGTGTCCCTTAATATGGACATTTTTGAATTTCCTTGCTCCCAAGGCCTCAAATGGTTCCAAATTGATAAAAAACAATTTTCTGAAAGTTTTTACTCTTAATATTGTCTTTTAGGTAGAGCGCTTTTAGGTAGAAGTTTTGTATGGAAATAGCATGAAAAAATTTTCAAAAATTTTGCAGAGCCTCGAATTTTCAATAAAAAATGACCCGAATTTTCACTTTTAATTCATTTGTCGCTAAGTTATTCCTAATTTTTTTTTTTTAATTTTCAAAATTCTTTCCATGCTATCTCCATACGAAGTTTGATTGAATTACGTACTATCTAAAAGTTAATATTAAGAAATACAAACTTTCAGAGAATTGTTCTTTATCAATTTGGAACCATTTGAACCCCTGGGAGCAAGAAAATTCGAAAATGTCCATATTAAGGGAAACCCTAATATATATATATATATATTTATATATATATATATATATATAAATATATATCTCTGTGTGGCTGTATATTTTTCATCTAAAATATTTTTTCTTCAGGCCACATGGCAAAGATTCCTGGAGTTTTGCCAACTCCGACATTGTTCCAGCAATTGGAATTATGGCTTTTGGTAAGTATAAGATATGTTCTTATTAGTTATTTGACTATTAATTAATACAATTTAATATAATCTTCTAGCATTCATGTGTCATCATAACACTTTCTTGGTTTATGGAAGTATTGCTGGAGCAACTCAAAGCCGTTGGGACAAAGTGACCCACAGTTCCGTGTTCTGCGCCCTTGTGGTGGCAGCTTTGTTCGGAGTAGCAGGATATGCAACTTTTACTTCGCATTCGCAAGGTTTCAAATAAAATTACTTAATTTCTCAATCAAATGATAAATGTATAAATGTATACTTCAAAGTTCAATTAAATGTAACCTTTGTATAATGTGAGTTTGTGACTTTGCTAATTATTGCAATTACAAAAATATTTCTCCAGGTATTACAATTTTCTGAATATTTTGACTTGCTCATTATCAGAATAACAAGATATACGACTTAGAATAACAACAATATTATCAGAATAACAAGATATACTCGTAAGTCTCATACTTACTTAAATTCGACATTCTTATCTTATAAACGTTCGGATCTATTGTACAACCCTATAATCCATTTAAATTGAAGAAACGTTTGCCTAAGCATAATGTTTCAAATGCTTCAAAAATCCAAATGATTCTATAAATTAAAATGTTTTTGGTATGGCTTGCGTGCTTTTGCCAAAGGCCAGTTGATTCTGTGCATTCAAAAAAGGAAAACGAATTTCTTGCCTTTCTTGCCATTCTTGCCAAAACCTGACAGATTTATTGATACATGAATGAATACTACATAATACATATTTATAAGCATATCAATTTTTTCTATTAAAATTTTAAAAATCAACGATAACATATCAACGATAATAAGACAAAATTATACATTATAGACAACATTTTTTTATTTAATATTACGGACTTGCTTGTTTTTCATATGAGAGCAAAACTTTGTTTTTAATTTGCTATATCAATCATCATTTCAATTACGACGCCGAGATGTTAACAAACTTCATACCCAAACAAGTATAAAGTATTTTATGAAGTTTTAATATGTAAATATCCTTAAAATTATTTTAGGTCTCGATCATTAATTACCGCTTCTTAAAGTTTCATATAGACTCATTAATATTCCAAAAGTTAAAATCAATATTTGTTTTTACAGGTGATCTTCTGGAGAACTATTGTTGGGATGACGATTTGATAAACTTTTCCAGAATTTTATTCTCGATATCAATCCTTCTAACTTTTCCGATTGAATGCTTCGTCACAAGAGAGGTAAAGTAAAAGACAAATAATATTATATTAATAAATAAATGGTTGTCTGCCCGAAGACAGGTTCATGGTATGAGAGCAACACAAATTGATGATTTCCTTTCCCTCTATTGTTTATTCAAATTACCACTTTTCACTTTTAATACACTTTTATGCATTTTCCTTTCCAAACTTTTGCTTTCATGCTTCCTGGTACTGTGCTTCGGCTTTCAATTCCCTGTTTTTTCTCTTCTCGCGTAAGTCGTCAATAATCTACATTCTTCTTTATCCCAGTTCTTTCGCTCCTATTTTACATTCGACTACGTGGTGCAGGAGCCTCTTTTTTTGCAGAATTGGTCCGATCCAGTTTCCTATCTTTTTCAAGATTGTGCCAACATCCTCAGCACTCTTTAACTGTTATTTTAAAATCCTCAGCAACTCTCCGCTAATTTTTATCGGTCTTTCTTAGAGTTCACGTCTCTGACCCGTAAAGAGCTAAGCTTCAGACATAAAACTTCATTAGCCTTTTCAAAAAAAATTAAGACTCAGATGGCTCATCAGTGGCGTTCTATTTTTGCGCTTGTGATCCTTGCTCTGATCTCTCTCGTACAGTATCCATCTCTGTTTAGGAAGATTCTCGAGAATTTGTAGTTATCATGTTTTATAGTTTTGGTCTTTGATATCACCACGAGGTCATCTACGTACATCATTGTGGTGATTCTTCTCCCTCCAATTGATTCCTCCAAAATCTTTGCCGTATATATGTGTATGAGTGTGTATATATAGCAGCATTTTCATCATATTTTTTTTGTACTACACAAGAAGTAGAATTACTATTCAAAGATGTATCGAATACATGATCGAATACGATTTTTATTTTTTTAGCAGCGATTAAAACTACATATTCTACTATTCTGCGAGCTATGTTTGCTATCCGTTCTATCCTAGAACTTTTCTTTGGATAACCAGCGGTGAACCACTCTTTATCTTTATGTGTAGACTATAAACATTATAGATATATATATATATATATATCTAATAATGTTGGGATAAATGTATTGCAGCAATGCCCACAAAAGTCTAAAATCACTAGAGATTATATTTGAGATCTATAACCTCTAGTATAAATTTTATATCATACTGCTTGACATCAAGCTGGACGAGGTTGGGATCGAATTGACTACTCTGTGCTAGTATACGTTTTTAACCATTACACCACGAAGGGCTGAAGATTAAACCGTTGATTATGCTTCTTTCGCCATCAATAAAAAATACGTTTTTTTTTTTTTTTAAATTATGTTTCGTATATATCCAATGTATAACAGATAATTTTTAATAAAAAAAATGTATGACTATAATTAAAATTAAAATATTGGTCAGTAACTTAGTCACATAAAAACATAAATATTTTGTATTTAAGTAATCTTTCTATTCTAATTAAATAATTTCCTGTTGCCAATGGGAATCTTAACTTTAATGTATTAGGATAGGTCATTTTAAGTGAAAGCATTTGTTTCTGATAAAAAATATATATGAAAAAGTATTGTTATTTTTTTATTTATTTAAAATAGTTGAAACATGTCTTCTTAAATAAAAATAAATTGAAATCATTATAAAATAATGTTTTTGTCATATATTTTTTTCAGAAACAAATGCTTCCACCTAAAATGGTTTACCCTATACAATTGATAGGTAATACTATATAAATATGATAGTTTAGAAAAAAGTCTCCATAATAAATAATGTCAATTAACAGTCATTCTAATACTATTGATTCAAATAATTAATCTAATCTTTAATGTGTTCAATATCTAAAAATATGTAATCTCTAATGCGCCAGGTGTTGCATAGTGTAATTGGTGGAAACGTAATTGCTGGATCGACACCGTTGCCAGCAATCGGGGGCCAAAACTCATCGGAAGACAACGATTCAGACAATTGGGGCCACAAAGGACTAACATTAGGAATTATTGCAGCTGCTTGTTTGATATCGACTGCAACAGATTGTTTGGGACCCGTCCTTGAGTTAAATGTAAGATAAGTGATTATGCATAAAAAAATTATTTGCAACAATCTCGTATGATATGCACCAAGTGTAAAAATAACTTATATTTTCTCATCAAAATGCTAAATTAAAAATAAGAAGATTAGAAGAGGTAATTTGATTCTGAATTGTTAAAATAATGACGGAAAAAGCGAAGTAAAATCTTTAAAATGCTTTATAACAATAAAAGAAATAAAGAATGCTCCCTGGGTCAAATGGGTCTCGGCGTCATACGAGTGGAAATAGTTAATAATAGCAAAAAAATTATAAATACTATATTGATTAAAATTAATTAGGTTAAAAAAGTCATGGAGTAAAATACAGCAAAAAGTATAAAACATGCATTTTCAATTTAAAGATCAAAACGGGTCATTTCACCCGGACATATGGTATATAATTAGCGTTCTTCTCGAAAGAACCAAGCAAAAAATCCTGAACCGAATTTGAAAATATCAAAACCATTCAAATAGCATTAGAAGGGATCATGCTTACTAGTTTTTGGAAAAAATCGTTTTTTTTGTAATTAATTGTTGAATTTTTACGACCTTGATGAAACTTTTTATGGTAATAGAGCTAATGGTAAAAATACGGGTACAATAAGCCTACAAGAAAATTTTCGATTATAAATTTTCATTGAAGTTTAATTTAATATATTTAATATAATAATAATTTTAGTCGAAAATGCGAAATAAGTTTCTACTTAACGATTACCATAGAAAACATACATGTGATGACATATATACATTAATATTAAAATAATGGTGTCCCAGTAAAACCCAATATTTAAACAAAAATAAAATAGTTAAAAAATCTATAAAATAAGGCAGACCTATTGAATTTTTCATTTCAGGGAGTACTGGCTGCCGTACCATTGGCCTACATTCTTCCTGGTTTAGCGTATCTTCGCCTGGAGCAAGGCGGAATATTCGCCAGGCACAAATTGCCGGCCCTAGGGCTCGCCTTGTTCGGCCTATTTGTGGCCCTACTTGGTCTAGCCTTTTTATTTGTTAACTTTGACACTGTTGATACTTGCACGCACGGTAAAGTTATGAAATACTGCCTGCACAATGAAACTTTGAGCACAACAATGACAACCATCATCAAAGGGAGGCCATAGGAACATAAGACGCCCATATCAAAATTTGTGCCAGATTAATAAATTATAAAGTTTTGAATTATGTTATCATCAAGCATATTATTAGATTATGAAGATTTGAAAGCGGTAAATTAATTTTGTAAATTGTATCAAATATCCCTCCTCCCAAATTGTAAATGTGGCTTTTCAATAGCCTTGTTTCTATTTATCTCTGAATTATGAAACTAAAAACTAAATATATATTTCATTTTATAAAATAAGAGCTGTTAGTCTCTAAACTTATGTCATTTTGATAAGGCGAGCATATTCATAAAAATTCATTCCTTATGAACAATAAAATTGTACAAGTTACAATTTAAACATTTTAAATTAATAATTTCAAATAAATAAGATTCGATCCAAGACAACTATATAAATTGGCTCAATTTAAAAGGACTAAGCACTCAAAAAAATAGATCTTTAATTTTTAACTTGTAAAAAGGTAATATAAGGGCCAATTTCATATGTTTTACTACCACTTTCCACTTTCCAACACATCATTAATATATGAGGCAAGTCAAATTTTACATGCTATAAAAAATAGTTCTGAATGAAGGAATTATTTATTATTCTATTAATTTACATCAAACTATCAGAATAATGTAAGTTTGGGGTTCCTAACCAGTGGCCTGTCGGTTCTTACTAACAATAAGGCCTAGGCTATAATAAATGTTAGCAAATATTATTACTTTATAATAATGAAAGTTATAATTTATATTGTCTTTTGATTTATAAAAAATTTTCGCGTTTGAATAAAATGTCTTAAGGTTTAACAACGAAATCTGTAAACAACGCATTAATTACCTATCTTCCTATTTGGGTTCCTCGGTTTTTTAAACCGGTTTCGAAAACCGGGCTTTAAGAAAATTGGAATGGAATTCGAAAACCGTTTTTTTGGTAGAAAATACCAGTTGTCAATGTATCAATTGCACTTAAAAAATGAGATTGATAAAAACACTGTTGCCGGTCGATAACCCTTATATATAAAAATTGTACATAAACAACAAATAATTGTTTTTAAAGGGTAACTGATTTTCCTGATCTTTTTTTTGTTCTATTATATTGCGTAAAAATTTCTTACTAATGAAATTGAACAGTAAACAATTTTAGTTAAAAACTGCTTTTAATCACCATAAATTTTTTGTTGCATTTTTTTGTTCGAATTGTTCGAGCAAATAGTGTTTTTATTAAAAACTCGAAACTGGTCATAACCGTTTTTTTGGAAAAATAGTATTCGAAAACCGGTTTTCTAACATGTCGGTTTTTGTATAAACCCTACTTTCAAATTTTATTTTTATTTTAACCCTACTTCAAATTAATAATTGAGAAAACTAAGAAGATATATAACACATATATTGAAATCTTTGCACAACAGAGCATTCAAGTGATCAGATATTGTTTCTATTTATTTTAAATAGACTGAGAATTTGAAAATTTTTCATTTTTATGAATTTTCATATATTATTATAATTTAAAGCATAAAAAATTCAATATCCCCTCGTACATTGATCTTTTAACAAATTTGTTCATCATTATGATTATTTTCATTGCGAAAGCAGATATTTGTGTTGGATTATGAAACAGAAAACCATTGCACGTTTTACAATTTTTTTACAATTTTTTACAATGTTTCTAATTTATAATGAAGTCAAATGAATACTCTACACAATATGATACAAATTGATAATTTGGATAATTATACACTGATAAATAATATTTTTGTTATTAAGCTCTAATGAATGCGTTGTTGACCGATTTCGTTGATTTCAAAGATTAATAAAAAAAATTCATGGATCTCTTTCTTAGATATTGTTGCTCTTCAAGCGTAAAACAGCGTATTGTTTTATAATTAGAAACATAATGCATATTATCGTCAAATATATAGTTTCCCATAAAAATGAGAAATTTTATTATTAGCTAATAATAAAATTTCTAGAAAAAATCTAGATTTATGTTTATTTATGAAACCATCAAGCCTAACTGAATATTCGAAATCAAATAGGGTACAAGGCATATCTGAAATAGATATTTTCTTAAAATAATGAACTTTGGAGTTCAATCTACTTACAAATAGATTTAATTAAAACAAACAATCGCTAATGTATTAAAGAAATTTTAAATTCGTAACTGTAAGTATGTAAGAACATATTATAATAAACTATATAGGTTATGCTACTCGCTTATTGGAACGACAACTGCTCTACATAAAAAATAAAATTGAGAAAGATTTGTATTTTAGGTATTTAATTTAATTTATGGAATTTAATCACATGATAAATATTCTTGAAATTTATTTATTAAAATTAAAATATTATTTTAGGCATACCACATAGTTACTATCATTTATACTTGTTTATCCGTAGTTACTATTCAACTTATCACAAGATCTTCATAAGTTATAACGATACTCAGTAAACCACAAAAGTTAAAACTACGTAACATTGCTGAAACGTTGTTACGTAGTTCTTGGTTACTTTAATAAAACGTGCGTGTTACGTATAGTTGTACCATATAGTTGAATATATATTGTACTGCTAATTTTTATAACTTTGTTTTAAAATCGAAAAGTTATAATAAAATGCACGTCGGAATAAACACCTAAGATTTAGGATTTAATTAAAAGGCCAATAAAATTCAAACAAAAAAGAGTAAAAAAAATTGTCACTATGATGCGACTAGAAAACCTATTTATAGATATTTTTCAACTAAATGTATGCTATATTTCTATATATCTAAACATAAAATATATTTAAAATTATGCTCTATCTGGATAGCTCATAGTTTTCTAACTATAAAGTCTATTTTCATCTATTACTAGCCCAAATTTTATTGGACCAAGTTATTATAAATATACTTATTATTTCTCAAATATCATTTTCAAATAAGTATATAAAATGCATATTAAGTTATAGTAACATATAACAAAATGTATTATAATAACGCATAAGCCGGATTTAAATCAAGTACAACTAAAAAAATTATCAAAATAAAATTAATAGTCAGATATAAAAATTATTCAGAAATTTATGAAATGCTGTTGTTTTGATAATACAATTTAAAAGATTTTTTTTTAAAAAACTCAATACGTTATTACTCGAAAACATTTTATATTAATGTAATAAACGTATGTTTTACTTTTAATCCTTTTATTTTTAATTCATACGTCCCTGCTTTATGTATTTTGAGAGAAAAACCTTTATTATTTTATTTTGTTGAATATTACGAATGTATGCTAATCTGACTAAGTAACTAGATATAAAACAAATAAGATCAGTATTATCAAATATCCAGTTCTAAAATTTTTCTCATTTATTTCTTCCTCGTGAGAATAACTGTTACATATATGTGATAACTGTACCTTTATATTATAAGTAAATTATTTTGATCATGCTTTATATATATATATATATATATATATATATATATATATATATATATATATATACATTTATATATATGCATATATGATCATTTTAACTATTTTTATGTGATGTGGAAGTAATCTGTATTTTCTTCGAGACTTCATATGTATATTTTAGTATCGCAACAAGTAGTATAATATAGTCAAATGTATAATAAAAATTCCATATATTATATATTTACGTTATATAATGAAAAATCTTGTAAATTATTTTGTCTGAAATAAAAAAGCTTTAATAACATTGAATACAGTTTATTCGTGTTTAGATAAACTGAGCTTTTTATGAAAATTAAAAACCTCAAGAAGACTATAATAGATAGCCTGCAAAAAGATTTTGCAATCCTGTGAGTCATAAAATTAATATAATGTTAATGAATAAGCTTTATCTATCAAAAAACATTAAGATCAATAATCAAAAAGTCAACATATGTCAATTTTTTTATAAAGCTACAAAATATAGATCATTTGTAAATTAATTTCTATTCAAATGGAAAAAAGTAAATGTATGATGAATTTAAAAAAGCTCTGAAAATTTAAATTTAAACAATCAATCACAAAACCATTTTTTGCTAATTATTTTATTGTCATTAGAATGAAAAATGAATAATATAAATTTATTATAAAAATGACACACATTTCCATTCAGTAATTTATAGTATTCATAAACTTAAATAACATTCGACTATATATAGCATCTTAAAATAAGATGATTCTTAAATCAAAATAGATCTAACTAAAAGCATAAATAAAAAAATGATTTTTAACTTCAAATAGAAGTTAAACAAAATTCTAATAAGAAAAACGCTATATCCACACTGAGATATATATAAATGTTATGTCAAATTTCCAGATCGTACTACATTTTCATGGTGTCCAAAGCAACAGTTAAAACTTTTGTTAATTTTGGGTCAGCTCGATTCTTCGCTTTTGTATTTTTATTTTTCTTAGGTGTAGCTTTTTTTGATTGCTGTTTTGGTGATTGATTGACTTTTATAACTTCTTTTTGGAGTTTATTTAATTGATTATTTACTTCAGCTACTTTTCCATTTTTATCTGTTTTAAGCTACAATTTAGATAGGTAATTTATTATAATTTGTATCAATATATCATCTTACTTTTTATATAATTTTGTGCAGACATGAAAAAATTATAGCTCTCTGGCATTAGCAAATAATTTTCAGGAAAGTACTTCATAGCAAGTTTTTTAATATTATTTATGGAATTTTCATCTTAATATTACACAACATCCTATACATACAATTTCTATTTTGATAAATAATAAAACTGAAATAGTTATTGTGAGTAAATGAAATGAATCCCTATGTATAGTATCTTATAAGATAGCAAATATTGCACACAAATAATTGATATAATACCTTTTTAAGCTGAACGGTTAGCACTTTAGCTTTAGATTTAGCTTTAAGACTTTTTGCTCCAGCTACTTTGAATACATTATTATTACTAGATTTTTTCAACTGCTTAACAATTTTCTTATTAACTTTTTTCTGCTTCCCCATTTTTAGCTTCTTTATTTAGACCTAAAACAGTGTTTCATTTTAAA